GGGGGGGGGGGGGGGGGGGGGGCCCGCCGGCCCCCCCCCCCCCCCCCCCCCCGACGTTTGCACGCAGCCACTGCATCCAGCAGATCCTGGAGGCCGTCCTCCACTGTCACCAAATGGGCGTCGTCCACAGGGACCTCAAGGTGAGTGCCTCTGTCTGTCCGTCCCTCTGCACAGGGTGGGTCCCCTCCCTCCCAGGTCTTGGGGTCCCTGAGTCCGCACAGCCCGAGGGGGCCCTGGCTCGGTGGGTCCCCAAGCCCTTGGCTCCTGGGGGGGTCACTGAGCTCCTGCTGGGGCTGGGGGGGTCCCCTCCGCCCTGAGTGCCCCCCAGCTGCCATCTCCCCTTTCTGGGTGTGTGTGTGACCCCCCCAGTCACGCCACACTTCTGCGCTGAGTTGGGTGCTTACTGCGACCCCCCTGCTCACGTTGCGGTGCGAGGGGGCCATGAGCTGGGTGGGATGTGGGGACGGGGATGAGCGAGGGGGGCGGCTGGAGCTTGGCTGTGGGGTGGGACACGGGGCTGGGAGCGAGCCGGGGTGACACCGAGGTGGGGCTGGGCCCGGGGCTGTGCCACCCGGGCACCCCCAGGCATTTGGCACGGGGCACCCACAGCCCCCAGACCCGCTGCCTGGGGCAGGGGGGTAAAGCACCCTCTGCTTCCTCCCTCTCCTCCTCTGCCCGCCCCGTGCCCGGTGCTGCCCTTCTTGGCACTGCCCTCGCCCGGCGCTGCTGCCGCAGCCGGAGAACCTGCTCCTGGCCAGCAAGTGCAAAGGGGCGGCGGTGAAGCTGGCCGACTTCGGCCTCGCCATCGAGGTGCAAGGGGATCAGCAGGCCTGGTTCGGTGAGTGCCACCGCGTCCCCGTGCCTGCCACGTCCCTGTCCCGTGTCCACTGTGTCCTGCACCGTAGCCACCGCGTCTGTGCCCCATGCCCACAGCATCCTGCCCGCCGTGGCACAGCCCCCTGCCTGCCGCCTCCCCCCCATGCCCACCGCGTCCCTGCCCTGTCTCTGTCCCTGTCCCATGCCCACCGGGTCCCTGTCCCATGCCCACCGTGCCCGTGCAGTGTCCCCACCGCATCCCTACCCCATGCCCAGCACATCCCTGCCCCGTGCCTGTGCCCCAGTCCCATGCCCACCGCGTCCTGCCCCGTGCCCACCCTGTCCCTGTCGCTGTCCCTGTCCCCTGCCCGCTGCCTCCTGCCCGCTGCGGCTCAGCTCCTGCCCGTCTCCGTCCCAGGCTTCGCGGGCACGCCCGGCTACCTCTCCCCCGAAGTCCTGCGCAAAGAGGCCTACGGCAAACCCGTGGACATCTGGGCATGCGGTAAGAGCCTGATCCCGGCCTGATCCCAGCCTGATCCCATTCCCCTCCCATCCTGATCCCCTTCCCAGTCCCTTCCTGATCCCATCCTGATCCCATCCTGTCCCCTTCCTGGCTCCATCCTAGTCCCATCCCACTCCCATCCCAGTCTCATCCTATTCACCATCCCAATACAGTGCTGGTCCCATCCCAGTTCCTGTCCTGGCCCTATCCCAATCCTCATCCTGGTCCCATCCCTGCCCCCATCCTAGTCCTGTCCCCTTCATCCTGGCCCCATCCCGTGGCCATCCCGGGCTGCGTGCCCCGGCCATGCCACGCTGTCCCCGGTGGGTGGGTGCTGCCACGGGGGACGGTGCCATCCCGGCAGCACCGGGGAGGCTGGCATGGGGACAGGCCACCCTGGGGACACCGCTCCCCGGGGGCAGGGCTGGAGGGAGCCGCGGGGAGGCTGGGGGTCCCTGGCCCCCTCCGGCCCTGACCCTGCTCTCCTTCGCCCAGGTGTCATCCTGTACATCTTGCTGGTGGGCTACCCGCCATTTTGGGACGAGGACCAGCACAAACTCTACCAACAGATCAAGGCCGGTGCCTACGACGTAAGTCCCCGGCGCCAGGCACGTCCCGCGCTGTGGCTGGCCGGCTTGTTAACTCTGGAACCTACTGAGGGACACTACAGCTAATCACCACCAGGGAGAGCCTGGGGCGGGACTTTGGGCCACGTCTCTGGCGGCTGGTTGGGGACGTGGGGGGAGGCAGGGGGACGCAGGTGCCGTGGGGCTGCCCCTCCCCAGCCGTCACCCCGCCATGTCCCCCCCCACAGTTCCCTTCGCCCGAGTGGGACACGGTCACCCCCGAAGCGAAAAACCTCATCAACCAGATGCTGACCATCAACCCTGCCAAGCGCATCACAGCCCACGAAGCCCTCAAGCACCCGTGGGTCTGCGTAAGTGCTGCGTCCTCCCACCCGGCATCCCCCTGGTGTCCCCTCCCGGTGTGGTGGCCACCGGCGCCTGGCGCTGACCCCCCTGTCCCCCGCAGCAACGCTCCACCGTGGCCTCCATGATGCACAGGCAGGAGACAGTAGAGTGTCTGAAAAAGTTCAACGCCCGGAGGAAGCTCAAGGTGAGGTTCTTCTCCAGGGAGGAGCGTGGGCTGGATCCGGCCCTGGCCCTGCCCGGTGTTTCCCCACCCGGCACAGCACCACCCTGCCCATCCCCGGGGCTTTCCCGTGGGGCACAGTCCCACCCTGCCCATGCCCGGTGCAGCACAGTCGCATCCTGGCAGCGCCCGGTGCGGCACGGTCCCGTCCCGGCCACCCCACGGTCCCATCCTGGCCGTGCCCGCTGCTTTGCCATGGGCCACGGTCCCCTCCCAGCGGTACCCAGCGCAGCAGGGTCCAATCCTGCCCCTGCCTGGCACATCGCACTGTGCCGTGGCCCCATTCTGCACCCTCCGATCCCATCGCCGTGTACCAGGGCCTCATCCTGCACCCCCCCATCCCATCACCACACCCCATGGGCCCCATCCTGTACCCCGCCATCCCAGGGCCTCATCCTGCCCCTTCCCTCCCTTCCAGGGCGCCATCCTCACCACCATGTTGGCCACCAGGAACTTCTCAGGTAAGGGGGG